CTTTGGCTCTGACTGCAGCCTGTCGCGGTCGCCACGCTCGCGCTGCGACGGCCATGGCGGCGGCGGTGGCGGCGCTTCGCACTTTGCTCTGCTGAATTTTCAATTTCAGTTGTAAGCTGACTGCAATCAGCAGTGGTTCGCCTTGTTTCGTTTCGTTTCGTTTCGCTTCGCCTGGGCTCGGTCCGTTTCTATTCGATTCCATTCGATTCGATTCGGCTCGGATTGAGTTTCTGTTTACGGCCGATTTTCGAGTGCTGCGGCCAGCCAGCCAGACAGACAGCCAGACAGTCGGACTGTCGAACTGCCCCACTGTCGTCGTCGTCGTCGTCATAAAGCGAAATATTATAAACACGACGCCCGCTAACCACCGCCGCCTACCGCCCACCTCCCACGCGAGTTTCGCGCATTTAGTGGCTCGCGCGCAATTTTTGCATGTGTGTAGCACGAAGGGGCACCTATACGGACACACACACACACACACACACACGCGTCAACACACACTGTGCGTGTTTTTATTGATTTTGTAGAGCAACAAAGTCGGCGACAACTGTTCAAGCTGTAGTTGACCCCCTCCCCCCTCCACTCCCACCATTTCCTCCCCGACCATGGCCAATACTCATTATGCACGCATACGCACACACACATCTGCATATGTCCTGCCCCCCCTCTTCTTTCCTTTTGGTAATTTGCATTTTAAAGTGCACTTACTATAAAAGGACAACCATATAAGAGCTTAAGGAATCCTAGTTTCTTGAATCAGAAATATTACAAGAATATATGAGAGAAGAGAAGGAGATTGCAACATACAAGTCAGAAGATTACCGTTAATCATAGGAAATAACTTGACGAACATTGGATTTAATTGTAGCTTGATAGGTCGACGGATAGGAACGTGTGCACCAGATCCTTATAGGCAGAGTTGTTTTCACCCTTATGTCCTAATTGCGCTCGCTCATTCATGGCATCAAATCGACTGTCCACTTAAGGTCCAGTTGACCATCTGAATGGGGCCTCACTGTGTCTGTCACTCGCTTGGCTCATAACTTTATTGGCGTCGGCAGCCAAACTTGCGAGTTTCTTGGCATCAGGCAAAAGTAAGCAGCCAGCAGCAGAAGCAGGCAGCAAGCAGCTAGCACCTCAGCACAACAACAGCAGCAGCAACAGCAGCTGCTGGCCCCAGCTCATTCCAAAGCTAATGCCCCCCAACCTTTCGCAGCCCCCTTGCGTACAGCTTGCCGCTGTCGCACATAAAAACGGCAACGACGAAAACGAAAATTTAACGACTGCGCAACGTGACGCATTATTTGTCTGCGCCGCCTTTGCCGCTGCCGTTGCTGTTGCCGCCATTCGCTAGTTGCCGGTTCCCCGGCCTGGCTGGCGTCTGGCCTGCCTTTTAGCAGTTCAGCCTGCAGCAAGCTTGCCGCAGACTCGCGCCGCCAGAAATTGCTTTTGCTTGCGCTGGCTGGCTGGCTGGCTGGCTGGCTGGAACTTCACCAACTGCCGACTTCCCCCCTCTCGGTCTTCCCTCCACCCGCTAACTGCCTTTTGCGCGCTGCTGCTGCTGTTTTAGTATTTCGCACTCTGTGCACGCGGTGGCGGCGACGTTGACTGCGATGGCAGCGGCTGCAAGCATTTTTGCATGACTGACTAACTGACTGGCTACGGCTACGGCTGAGTCTGAGTCACTCACACTCACACACAGCCACACACACACACACGCACACACACTTAAATACAAATGCGCCAGTTTGCGAGTTTGTTTGAATGGGCCAAAGAGGAGTGTGGCCTGGGCATGGAGCGAGGGGGGCCGCGCTGACTGCATGGCTGTCGCAGCCTGGCGTGTGTTTATAATTTGATTTTGCTTCTTTCTTTCTCTCTCCGCTTCGTTGTGTGCGATGGCGGCGGACCAGCATTTCCTGTCGCTGCTAGGCCTACGAGGTTGATTGTGGATGGGGGACGGGGACACGGGCATGCAAGAGTGATGAAGAGTGTGTGACGGGTGGACGGAGGAGGTGAAAGGGGGCAGCCGTCTGCCGCATCTGCTGCAAATTCGTTGGCACGCCAAGCAGCAGCAGCTAAAACTGGCTGCAACGACGGCAACGTCGCAGGCCACGGAATCTTAATGAAGTTATTGTGTTGTGTTGTTCAGTTCGTCGTTTCTGCTGCCTACCCAGCTCCTCGTTGCTATATTGCTGTGCCATTTACATACACACACGCAAGCACACACACAGATAAATGTGTGCAGACATATATATACATACATATGTATATATGAATTAAGCTTTTGCCATTGCCATTGCCATTGCACATTCAGCTAGGCCTAGGGTCGCAGCGGGAGATTAGCCATTGGCCACCCAATTGGATTCCATAATTATTACGGCGAAACAGCAAGATGGCAACGACATTTTTGATATTGCAAACATTTTTATTCTGTCCCACATTTGCCATTAAATAACAAACAAATACTATTAGGCATATATGTATATAAACTAAGAAGTCAAAGTAAACAATGCAAAATATGAGATTTTATCATATCTGAACTGACGAATTAACAGTACAAACAGCAAAAGCTTGCAGTTAGTCGAGTCGAGCTTTTTTTCTGAAATTATCGTCGCGTACGCAAAAGATCTCGCTGTCTGTCTTAAGCACTGAGAGCAAAACACGTGCTCCCTGTAAGCGCTCTTTCTATTCAACGGTAAACGACAAATTAAAATACTATGCGACTCTCACAATAACAAGACTACAGTTAAAGCTTGCATTAAGAATACATGTATTAAGCATAGAATTGGGTTTTTACTCAATGAAGCCGGGCTCGCTCTCCCACACCCGAAAACTTAAATGTGTGTGCACGTGTACGTGTGTGTGTGTGTCACTGTGTGTGTAAAGTGAGAGTAAACTGTCTGCTCCATGTGTATGAAATGGTGAGCTGTGTTTTGAATTTGCAATTGCATTCGTTGTTGGCAGGCGACAGTAGACGGCAGACAGCAGGCGTGTGTGAAACAAGTAAAACGAAAAATCAAAGCAAAGGGAAAGGCCCGTTAAAATGGCGCCAAAAAAATCAACAATTGTTCTAAATGTGGAGCAGTTCATTCACGACATCGAGGAAAGGCCGGCGATATGGAACCGCAACTTCCACTGCAACAAGGCCTTCTTGGAGCAAATGTGGGACGAGCTGAGTGGCACACACAAGCTACCAAGTAAGTACGGACAGGCGCCATGGACTAAGTAACTCTCGAGGCACAACATTGTGGCGCAACCTTACGTAAGGCGAAAAAGAAAAGTCTACTCGCCCTCGCTCCCCAAAAGAAGTTATGCCTTCAGAGAACCTTGTCCTATGCGTGGATATGAGAGTAGCACGTGATTTGATACTAATTTGGTCTCTGGCAGAAATCGTTCTGAAAGCCAAGTGGAAAGGACTGCGGGATAACTTCAGGGTCGAGTACAAGCGCATTCCGCGCGCAGACAACGGCGATTTTTTGGTGGACCCTGCCACATTTGAGTCCAAGTGGTTGCACTACTACGCCCTGCTCTTTCTGAGTGAGTAACTCCACGGCCGACTTATTGTTGGGTTTCACTTGACATTTGCATCCGTACCTCCTGCAGCGGATCACATGCGCCATCGTCTGCCCAAGAACGAGCAGGATCAGTCGTATTACTTCAACCAGCAGAGCCAAAGCGAGGACTGCGAGAAGACCGTGGTGGAGCCAGACCTCACCAATGGCCTCATACGTCGCCTGCAGGACAGCGACGAGGATTTCGATGAGGACGACATCGATGGCGACGCTGGCGGCGAGGCCAGCGATGGCAGCCTAGACAGTTTGCCCACCCCGCCGGCGGCGCATCAACAAACTCAAGTGAGCACAACGCCGCTGGCGACGGGCGCGCTGAAAGCGCAGGAGGAGGCGTTCGCCGCTTCACATCAGCACGCCCTGCTCAAGGCGGGCCTGTTGCGCGCCCAGTTGTTGGAGTTGGAGTTAGAAAGGGAGGCACAGGACCTGAGTAAAAAATCAACACAGACTCCTGTGGCGACTGCGATGGCAACACTCATGACTCAAGAAATACCCGCCGCTCCCGCTCATTGCTCCCCGCCGCCGATGGTGTCCACCACCACAACCAACAGTGCTGTGGCCACAGCGACGCAGCTGGCGGGCACAGTATTGGCGGCAGCGACTACCACCTCCAACACAGCCGGCAATTCGGGAGCCATGGGCGCTAAGCGCTCGGTGTCGCCACCTCCGCTATATAACAAGGCGCATCATCCGCTTCCCACGCTAGCCGCCGGCCATCACACGGTCGGCGCCAAGGAGGACTTTGGCGGAGGTCCTGTCAGTGGCGGCAGCGAGCATCTGAACTTCACACAACACTCGTATGCCAATGGTCTGATTCCGGCATTGAAGCTGAAGCGGCCACGGCTGTCGGAAGACAGCAATTTTAATGGTTCCTCCACGATGGACGCGCCGCTGGTGCCGGAGGATGACGATTATCACTATTTGCTCAGCCTGCATCCGTACATGAAGCAGCTGACGGCTGCGCAGAAACTGCGCATTCGCACCAAGATACAGAAGCTCATATTTAAGGAGCTCTACAAGGAGGATCTCGAGGAGTCCAAGTAGTTGCCCGTTCCCAATTTCCATGAATATAAAGACTGTAAATAAGCATCCCTAGTTTGTAAGGATTAAATCTAATCCATAGTTATCTATGCCATGCGACTTTATCCATTTCTAGTTGAGCGTTGCCACCAGCCCAACCACCAGCGGGTCTTGGTGCGCGCCATTTAGCCTAAGCTCAAAGATCTGCAAATAAAAAACCGTAAACGTTCAATTTCTCGTTGAAAGGAATCTCTGGGAGGGGAATTGGGTGTCAAACTCTTGTTATATTAGGAATTAAGTTTAAATTTAGTTGTAAATAGGTGGTAAGAACTCGCGGCGAAGCCTCCAATCAATCTGTTTTCACACCCTTCAATCTATTTATCGCTCATCGGGACATTTTATTTTTCGCAGGTGAGGTCTACGTGCTTGAAGATGGAGCCGAGGTCGATCTAGATCTGGGTAACTACGAACGCTTTCTTGATATAACGTTGCACCGGAACAATAACATAACAACCGGCAAAATTTACAGGCTCGTCATCGAGAAGGAGCGCAGAGGCGACTACCTAGGCAAGACAGTGCAGGGTAAGACTTCTGTGTGTGTTCACATGTATATTTGAAGCTAATGCCGTTCTATTGATTACAGTTGTGCCGCATATAACAGATGCCATACAGGAATGGGTGGAGAGCGTCGCCCAAACGCCTGTCCAGGGATCATCCAAGCCGCAGGTGTGCATCATTGAGCTTGGCGGCACCATTGGCGACATTGAGGGCATGCCGTTTGTCGAAGCCTTTAGACAGTTTCAGTTTCGCGTAAAACGCGAGAATTTCTGCTTGGCACATGTGTCGCTGGTGCCGCTGCCGAAGGCCACCGGCGAACCAAAAACAAAACCCACACAGAGCTCCGTGCGGGAGTTGCGTGGCTGTGGCTTGAGCCCGGATCTTATTGTATGTCGCTCTGAGAAGCCAATCGGCCTGGAGGTAAAGGAGAAGATCAGTAATTTCTGTCACGTGGACCCAGACCAAGTTATATGCATACACGACCTAAGTTCCATATACCATGTGCCACTCCTGATGGAACAGAACGGTGTCATCGAGTTCCTCAACGAGCGGCTCAAGCTGAGCATCGATATGAGCAAACGGGCCAAGTAAGTTAGCTTCAACTATGCGAGCTGTTCTCTTAATTAATCCAATCTTTTTCTTTCGCGCACAGGTGCTTACAGCATTGGCGGGATTTGGCCAGGCGTACGGAAACTGTGCGCCGCGAGGTCAACATAGCTATTGTAGGCAAGTACACCAAGTTTACGGACTCGTACGCATCCGTGGTGAAGGCGGTGCAGCATGCTGCGTTGGCCGTAAATCGCAAACCGAACTTGATATTCATCGAGTCGTGCCTGCTGGAGCAGGAGACACTGCAGCGGGAGCCTTCCAAGTACCACAAGGAGTGGCAAAAGTTATGCGAAAGCAACGGCATACTCGTGCCTGGAGGCTTTGGAGCACGCGGCATGGAAGGAAAGATACGCGCCTGCCAGTGGGCGCGCGAGAATCACAAACCCTTTTTGGGTATTTGTCTGGGTCTGCAGGCGGCGGTTATAGAGTTTGCACGCAACGTGCTGAGCCTCCAGGATGCCAACAGCACGGAGATAAACCCCGAAACAACCAATCCATTGGTTATTGACATGCCCGAGCATCACATGGGTCAAATGGGCGGCACAATGCGGCTGGGCAAGCGCACCACAATATTTTCCGAACAGACGAGCACCATTCGCAAGCTCTATGGAAATCCTAAGACAGTGGATGAGCGACACAGACATCGATACGAGGTTAATCCCCAGTATGTATCGCAACTAGAAAGCCACGGTATGAGATTCGTGGGCATGGACAAGGACAAGAAACGCATGGAGATAATCGAGCTGCGGGATCATCCATACTTTGTGGCTACTCAGTACCACCCGGAGTACTTGTCGAGGCCACTGAAGCCCTCGCCGCCGTTCTTGGGTCTTATTTTAGCATCCGAGGGTAGACTTAAGTCCTATATAGATCGTGGCTGCCGCTTGTCCCCTCGTCAGCTGTCTGACGCGTCTTCCGACGAGGATGAAATAGTAAATAGCAAGAGCAGCCCCTGCAAAGAAATTCAATCTCAGCCCAAACTTGTGAATGGAAATGGGTTTGCTGGTGACAAAAATTCAGATGATGAGCACGCCTGCCCCGAAGAAGAGGGAGCCTGTGGTGGAATTGGCGCCTAATCTTTTTGAAGACAACACCGAAAAAGGCGGAGCCTGAGGTGCGTTTAGCGTTTAATCTTTTTGAAGACATGATTTTCTTCGAAAATGTAACTAAAAGGTCTTATATACGATTTTTCGATATAATATGGAACTATAATTAATTCTGATGTCGCTTTGTATCTGAAAGTGTGCGATTTTTATGTTTTTTGTCTAACGCATAGACGTGTTTTAAAACAACAAAAAATGTCAGAGTAAAACGATATTCTATTGAAAATTCTTTTAAAAAACATTTGGTCACATGAATAATGTTTATAATTTAAGCTTATGCAATTATTCATAGTTTTTCACAAAGTCAAAAACAGTTAAAACTTTAAACTAATATAAAGTTTTAAGATTATGGGAACGGCATGCCAAATAGCTGTGAAAAATATATTTTTTCCTTAAGAAAGCTTAAAAAAAAGTGCCCGAACATGTTTATCTATTCATCTTGCCTACAAATATTAATATCTTAAACATATTGGGAAACGACAACAGATGCATGTCTTGAAAGCCTGCCCGCCCATTGACATGAAAATTGGTACTATGATCTTGCCAAAAGTATTTTATTTTGGGAAAGCACTTTAAATAGTGTAGAGTAGAGGTTCGCATCCGCTGGTTCTGAGAGTGTATACTTGTGTTCAATTGGGTATGTACGTATGTATGTGCGCGTGTGCTGCTACATCAATCATACATACATCTACATACGCATACTACATGCAAATAAAAGCCGCATTGTGGTCCTACTACACTGTGAACAGAGCCAAAATAAAAATTTGCTCTTGTTCTGGTCCGCCGCAGAAATTTATCAAACGCTCATGATAGTGTTTAACGAAGCCAAGACGACTGTCGCTGTCTCCGCTAGCCAAGTCCACAAATAGACGGACGTATGCTGTGCCCTGCTGTGCTCGTGCACAATTGTGGTGGCTAATTATCTTGGGTAGTCTGCAGGCCCGCCTGTCATTTGTATTGTTCATTCAAATGAGTAAATTCTGCGCGAGAAGACGCGCGTAAAGATTGGACCGGCCATGCACGCTAATCAAAAGAAGAAGGCGCGCGCACGTAATCGCCCCAGAAACAAATGCAACCGGTCCGACGAAACCGAGCACGATAAAACCCTGGATCTGGATGTTCCAGAACCCGTTACCGACTCCGACTTGGAGAAGCTTGAGCCCCAGCCCGAGCCCGAGCCTAAAGTCGAGCCGAACACCAGCGCCATTTACCTAATACAAAAGATTCTTCGCAAGAAATTGTTGGCCAAAAAAAGTCCATCGGTGGCGACTAGTCCAGCAAATCCTGATCCAACCAAAGTGCCCACTCCACCGCTCAAACTGACCAACGGCAACCAAAGTGATGAAGTGAGCGAGCTCTTGAAATGCATTGGAAACAAGCTGCAAAAAGGTCCATTAAGATTCCATACAAGTGGTGTAGTATATGCATCTTATATAACTATCTCCACGCACAAGTGTTACATATATTTACCACATAGGTTCCGCCGAGTTGCCAACGGGTGCGGTTTTCAGTCAGCTGGGCAAGATGTTCAGCACGGCGCCCTTAAGCGACTCGGAGTCATCCGACGAGGAGGCAGACTACGTGGAGTACATATACAAGCCGCGACAATATTTCATGGCATCGCTGTGCAACGTGAGTTGTGGTCCGGCCTTTTTGGCCCGATGCGATTTAAATAAAACCATCGGAATTTTCAGCATTGCAAGGCGGATCTGTGCGGCCGGCAGCCGATTCAGTGCAAAGGCTGTGGCTTGGTCTACTACTGCAGCGTGCTCCACATGCGGGACGATCAGGAGCACCGACAGCTGTGCTACGGTCTGCGCCAGTTGGTGGAGCGCAATGGTGGGTGGGTGTAGAAGACTTTATGGACATGGATATAGCGAAGCATATTTTCAGGGCATGATATATTCTATAAGTGTGGCGACTTTAGCGCCGAACAGTTTCGGTCGTATCGCATTGTGTGCATACGTCAGCTGGAGCAGACCATAAATCGTTCCTTAACGGCGACTGAGCAGGAGGTCTTGCTCTTTCCTTTCATCTGTGGGCATGTCAAGTGCCGGGAGCACAGACTAAAGAAGCTAGCCGCGTGTGGCCGTTGTGGCGAGGCTGCCTTCTGCAGGGATAAGCCGGATCATTTAGGTGCTGGCCATGCCGAGTGGTGTGGCGCATTCAGGCTCTTCAAAGCATTTGTCATGTTCCAGGCGAAGTTTGGACGCCTGGAACCGCCGTTACCCGATAAAGTCCTGAGAGATGCACCACTTGCCAGCACCAATACCAGGCAAATATTGAAAAAGCTAAATTTTGGTAAGTGAATGCACAAGGATGGTATGTCTAAGCTAATCCTACTTCCCTTAGATGTAGCCGATGAATGCGAGTTTGCCGCCCTTACTCAGATATCCACGGGACCCCTGACCGCATTTTTAGCTCTAAAGCTCTGCGGACGTCTGAAAGCCAAAGAGCTAACAATTCATTTGATAGGCGCGGAAATGGAATTCGAAGTTGACGTATTTCAGAAGTGGGAGATCTTTTTGCTGCACATTTTACCTGCAGTTACAAAGTTGAATGTCGTTTTCGTTGGGCCAGAGCTAAATACCAAGAACATATCCTTTGACCAACTATCAAAGATTAGGTGGGAGTTTACCTATTTTAAATTTTAAATTAAAATTTATTCACCAATTTATCTCACAGATGTTGTCGTTTGTGTCGCAAAGCACAACGCACTGTGCAATATCACTTTGAGAATCAACTTTATCACAATTATTGCTCGGCACCAGGTTTTCAAAACCCGGATTTGGGTAAGACTTTTAATCTTTATCTTCATCGTACACTTACAGCATTCGCAACAAAAAGTCATCCTTTTAGTCCTCACTCTTATATTATACATGCACATATACATATATGGTATGGTGCATCGCATATAATACTCTTATATTTTTCGAACAGCCTGTTTTTTCAACTCGGGACTTTATCGGGCTACTGGCTATGCACTGGAAGACACCTGGCCGGAGACAATACGGGCAACTTTGAATCTCAAATGTCCTATTGTAGTTACATCCTATACTAAATACGAAGCGCCGCTGGACTTGAGTCATTTTCTAAACCAGTCGAATCGTCAGTTAAGCGTCGTGCTTCCACCCACCACAAACCCCTTTAGGTCAGAAAAGCCAGAACGTAATTTTATATCAGACGATGATGCACCTTTCATGTTCAAAAATTTTCAATGTTTTGTTATTGAGTAAGTTGAGCTGTAACACCTGTTGATTTCCTATCCAACTAAACGGCCAAGATATCGCTTCTGGAAGTTAATCTGTTGTTGGAGGATCAGGATAATTAAAGGTTTGGACCAGAATAATTAAAGATTTATAAAAATTATAATATCGTTGACGACCGTTGACTATCGATCTGTTCAAAATTTTGTTTTTTTGAATGTGTCAAATCCGTTTGAAAGTCGAAAATGTATAAATTTTCAATTTACGCTTACGTATGTTTTTTTAAACAGCGAGAAATTGGTACATGAAAAGCAAATGCGAATGGTCGACAGTAATTCTTTGTGCTTACTAGTTTTTACTTTAAAAAACATTCTGCAGCCTCCCTGCACCCCAAATATTAGTTTGAATAAAACGAGATTATTTCGCTCTGATTCTTACAGTATACAGGTAACCAAGCAACTCTTAGAGCCAATGACGTATATTTAATACATTTAATTTATTTGCAATTTCATAGTTTTTATGTTTGTACTTTAAAAATGCATTTCCCTTCTATGTTATGCATTGCATATTTATAGGAGTAAATTCTCACCACACGATAATTTGCTTGCATCTGTTATCGGCTGGCCGCCACTGTTCATCATAATCTATCGAAAACTAATCGGAATATTATAAACTACTTTAAGAGGAAGACAACGCGCGGTTGCAGAAAATAAAAGTGCATTTTTTAAATATAAATATGAGCGATTGGGATTTTAAGGAACTACGCACAAAGCTCGATGTTATGGGCTTCAATCAGACGTTGCCCGTACTAGCAATACCGCTAGTTGGAGCTATATTTGGCGATTTAATCAAAACAACAGAATGCCTCCGTGATACAAAAAGGCAAGTTGCTGATCTCTTAGAAGTAAGTAATTTTAATTGATTTATGTGCGTGACAAATTCTAAAGTATTGCCCTAGGAAAAAGCCTGCTGGGAATTGGGCGTCGAGCCCTACAAATGTGACAATTCGCGTTTACTGGCCGAGTGTAACGAGCTGCACTTACAGTTTCTAAAAGACCGGGAAGGCTACGAACTGCGACTTTATGGTATGTGGTTGATTAATAATTTCCATTTCCCTTAACAATACTAATAATTTTCTCTGTAGAGGCTGAGCGGCGAATACGCAATCTACAGACTGATAACGAGCACCTCCAAAGCCATAATGTCCAACTACAGAGTCAACTGGATGCGTTTTTATCAAAGCAAATAATCAATGCGGCAACTGCTAAACGAACGCAGCTTGCGATATCGAGGCAGAGTATGTAACACAAGAGTTTGACAATATTTTTCACTAAATATGCACCTACTTACAGACAAACGGCCTTTTATAAGTACGGTCCGCTCTGGCGAAGCGTTGCCCGCTTTAAGCGGCATTTCAACCAACTCTTCGTTGAAATGTACCAAGTGTAATGCTGGAGTTGTTCAAAAGACTACAACGACTACTAAGGATGGCGTCATAGTCACGCATACAAGTGGGGCAGAAGAGATTGACAGACTGCAGAATGAGCTCACAAGTGTCGGCGAACAATTGGAGTTCTATAAGCGCAAAGTAGAATCGCGGAACCGGGAGATTCGACGGTTGAACGATTTGCTCGTAGGGGGCCGGCCACCCGCAGCATTAGCGAAAGACTGCTGCTACAAGGAAGTGGGCGCCCTCTCCCAGGACATTGACATGCTGCAGCGCGAAAAAAGCGAGTTGATGGCACAGGTTGGCGAATATCAAGATAAGATGCACGACGCCATGCAACGTGCGCTTCGCATTGAGGAAGAAAAACAAAAGTTGCAAACGCATCTGTACGAGTTAAAGGAAGCCGCTTTGCAGGTGGAGCAGCAAGCCAATTCCGAAATAGATGCAAAGGAATTGGAGCTGAGACAGCTCCAAACCGAGCTAAAACAATTCCACCGACGCAATGATCAAAGAACCAAGAACCCGCGTCTGGCCGCCGGGTACGATGAATCCGCAGTCCACAATGACAAGCGAATTCTTAACGAAAAGCTCAATCTACTAACTCGCCGTGAAGAAGAGTTGGAAGCGCTAAATGAAAAGCATAAAAAGAAGCTGCTGAAAATGGAAGCTAAGATGTCAACGCTACAAAAAGAGCTGCGGGAGCAGCAGCAGCAAAGTAGTGTTACACTGGATGAGGAGAAAATACGACTTAAGTCTGAGCGAGACTTTTTCCAAAAGGAGTATCTACGCCTCATGAGCAAATCAGGTTCGGACTCCGAGGTTGCGTTCCTGCAGGCCCAAATCAAATCAAAAGACGACGAGCTTCATGCTCTTCGCTCTGAGTTGTGCCAGGCATCCGTTGCTAAGCTGCAGCTGTCACCCCGAAAAGGCGACCATTGCGACAGTTTACCACCACCCACCACTACATGCAGCTCGAATAGCAACAGCAACCGGAGCGACTGTGTCCAGGCTGCCATTGGACGCGTTGAGCGCGAACGCGACTGTGCACGAATTGAGCTCGAACGCTTGCGTTGCGAGCGGGACACACTGCGGGAAAAGCAGTTGAGCAGTGTGCAATTGCACGCCGAGGAGCTGCAAGCTCTGCGTCTGCGCAACGAGGACTTGCAGGATCGTATACGCCAGCTGGAGCGAGATTACCGTGACCTAAATACGGCACGCGTGCCCACTGAAACACATAATGCTCTCTTGAAGGAAGATATGGCTGAGCTAAACAAGCGCTTAGCGACGCTGCAGGCCGAGAATGAGCACCTGAGGAGGGAGAACGGACAAATAACGTAAGTGTAGGGCATAATCTACCCAGCTAAGCCTAACGCAAGTTTGTTATTTGCATATTTAACAGCCTGATTAATGATCAAAACGAGCGCATCATAGCCGATTATCAAAGTAAGCTTCTCTTGGCGGAGCGTCAGCTGCATAAGGCTGATGTGCGTGCCAGCACATTGGATTCAAGTCGCGAAACCAATCGCAACGAGGTTACGCAATTGCGAACGGAAATCGGATCACTACGTCAGACCTACATTGCCTTGGAGCATGAAAAGGATATGCTGCTGGTAAGTGTTTGAGTGTCCAATTTCTGTTTTCACCCTTTGATCAATCGATTGTCCATAGAATCAATTGGATAACAAAACGGAGCGCCTCTATAAATTGGAGTACGAACATAAGGATTGTAGGGAAAAACGACATGCATTGGAGCAAACGATTAAGGAACTGGAGTCACAAGTTGAGTAAGTACATCGTCATTTTAAATAAACAGAGTTCGGGGACCATTATATGATAGACACTATATGACAGACTTACATAAGATACATTTATTCATATTATCTACAGTTCACTTAAACATTTATACAGTTGCTGGGGTAATACATTCATGGCACAATCTCCCACCCTGGCGTCTTTTAAAGCCAAGCTTTGGCTGCGAACGTTAGCCAAATATATCTAAGAACCACCTAAAAGGAAATGAAACGATTAAATCGATTGATCCAATATGAAATCGTAGAGCGTCGGAAACTGCGGGCCATAGATAAGTTAGAAACATAGGTAAATGAATAGAAAAGACATGCGCTGAGAATTGGGTAGACAAATCGAATCAGAACAGCATCGAGAGTTCGACATAGGATAGACTAAAGTAATACTATTGCTGGGGACGAAAGCGGGTTGTTTGGTTCAGTGAGGAACTTCGAGTTCAGTCGCTCGATGGTTAAATACCTCGCCAGGCTCACGCTGGGTGCGCTGCAGTTGTGCGTTCCGCCGTGCATTCTCTCGGCCGGCGTGTAGCCTGGCCGGCAGACACACTTGGCCTTGCTGGCATAGCTCAAGAGCGAGGTGCCGTTGGTCGATTGTGTTTTAAGCGGCTCCAGCCACTGCCCGGCACCGCAGGGTCCGCGAGAGTACAGTTTATGGCACTGGCCATTCATCTCAACCATCCCAGGCGTGGCCTCGCAAATGCTCTTCTCCTGGTCGTTGCTGGCTGAACACTGCTGGTCTAGGTTTGTGATGACGCCCGCACAGCCACACATGCCGTTGTAGGAGATTCCATCTACCGATGGTCGGGCCGTAAAGTCAAATACCACCACCTGGTGCAGGGAGCACGGTCCCTGTGAACCGATTCTGTAGCAGGAGTCCTCGGCGGGGAAGTAGAGCCGGTTCTTGCCGCAGAAGTTTCGTATACAGGAGGTTTCATTGACCACGAACTCGTTGACCGCACAGGGTCCGCGTGTGTAGAGGCGATAACAATGACCGTCGCTCCAGGGCACATAGCCCTCCTTGCACAAGCACTTGGCATGCGGCAGGGTTAGCAGCGTGTCCGATCCTTGATCCGTTTCGCTATCATCGGGTATGCGGAAGACATGACCAGGTGGACAGGGACCAGGAGTGTCTGCAATAAGGGGGAATTCGAGATGCAATTACGTTTCACTTATTTTCGGTCTCAAAATCCTACCTAGCTCGTAGCACATCTGGTGTGGAGCGTGATAGTGGGGCAGATGTCGCTGGCAGTCGCAGCGACCGCCGGGTAAAAATATGTGACCCGGCGTTGAGCAAGGTCCTATAGTATAGTGCTCGTAGCAGGATTCCTCCACGGTGTAATAGTAAGGTCGCAGCTCGCCCACATCTTCACAGCGGCACTCGGCCAGGCCGTCTTCGTTGCGTGCGAGCAGCTTTCCCCGTATGCAGGGACCCTTCGAGTGTTTCGGGTAGCACTTTCCGTCCTTTGGCCAGAAGAGCATCCCATCTTCGCAGTGCAGAGGCCGCTTACAGCTGCCCCACCTGTTGTCGGCTCTGAAATGGCAAAAGATTGTCTAACGAGACAAACTAGAAGAAACGCATGTGCCTACCTCTTGGCCTGTTCTGGTAGGGGCTGGAAGTACTCGCCTCGCTGGCAGGGCCCGCGCTCGTACAGCTTGTGGCAAGCGTCGGAGATAGGACTGAGCGCCGTGCCCGGCGGGCAGCGGCACTCGGCCGCGGGCACATCTTTCCGCTTGGCGCTTATTGGCGTGGGACTCAGCTCCATGGTGTCCGGACAGGGGTAGCCAAGTGTGAATATCTTAAAGCATTTCTTGAGCGGCGTCCAGTAGAGTAGCTGCCAGCCGCCGGCCATGCTGGCACACGGATTCTTTGCCGGGTCACTCCAGGGCGGCGGCACAATGCCGGCCAATGCCTGCTGCTGTTGTGCCAGCAAAAGCAACAGATAGGTGAATATGCTGCTGCCCGCCTGCAAGGCCGCCCAGCAGACCAGCAGCTTCCGGCGCTTTGTTCGCATCGCAACCAGCTGGAAGTACATAGGTACACGGGTAATTGGGCATCGGATTTTATTTGCCTAAGTTGCTTTTACTCTCGTTGCGCTGGCGCCAATTTAAACCGGCTTTGAGTCATGCTCATTAAAACGCATGATTGATGGATTTTCTACTGTTTGGCTTGGGCCATGGCCCGTGGGCGATGGCGATGGCGTTTTTGCTAAGCTTTTGATGCAGAATAGTTAAAGCAGAGACAAATGCCGCCTATCTTGAAGTCATTCGCACATTTATTTGTATTTGGTTGAATGCGGGCCGAAAGCGGCTCCAAATTAAATTAGCCAACTTGCAGGCCATCGATTTGTGTAAAGTTTTTGGCAATTCCGCGACTTACAAAAACCACACGGCAATGTAAAAACCAGTATGCGGTCGTGTGCTGTTAACCATGACCCAAATGCGCGTTTATCTTGACTTCTTTAGCAACGGCCTGATAGCACTTGGCCCCAGCCACTGAAATCTTCTGTTGCCCATCGGCCGAAATGGAAGGCGGCTCATTTATATAAGCCCCACTTGCAGGCGGCTTGTGACGAAACAGAGCAGAGGCAGCCAGCCAAGCGGGGCTGGAAAAACGTGCAACACTTTGCACTAATTCCCCACTTTTTCCCAAAGTTGTCTGCCCCGGCGGGCTGGGCTCAGCCGCGAATAACCACTAACCAATAGGCAACAGCTCGAACAGGCAACAGACAACCGACAACAGACAACAGCTGCTGCTGCTGCCTGGGCTATAAATAATGCATTAGGCTAACCGCAGTTTTGACTTGTTTTGGGTTTCTTGTTGGAGTCGATGTCGACTGTCGTAACAGCTAAACAGCCAAACGGCAACAGGTTTCCTAATGCCGCCAAGCAGAGTATTCTCTTTGAATTGGTCACAAGAACACAAACAGAGATTCAACAATGGGAGTTGCTGCCGAAAAGTGTTTGGCATTTCTAATCTGCAAAGCTCAATTGATTCTTGAGTCATTAGCGTGTGTCGGCGTGTGTGTGTGTGTATGCGGATGTATGTGTATGTACGTGTGTATCGCGTCTTGTTCAATTTTGACAAAGTCTACTCGAATTTCCTAATACGCACGCTCACCTCGGGGCTATGTTTGGAGAGTTTGATTTGAAGCTCCGATCCGCCCCCAATCAGACGCAATCAGCAGCGGCAATGTACGACACGATACCGATACCGATTCCGAATCCCAATGCCTATTCACACATGCAACAGAACTGGGCACAACACGAGACGCGACCACTTAAAGCGACCATTCGCCTGCTCAGGTAGCAGACGTCTGAGCGGCTCTGCGCTGCGGCCAGCGGTAAGGCCGGGCCAGGTGAGCGCTCCACTCTCTCTCTCTCTCTTTCTCTGCCTCTCTCGCTGTGCGTCGCTCTTCTGTTTAACTAAAATGGATATATCTGCACTTCCTCTCTCTCTCTCACACACACGGTGGAATTTCAATGTGTATTTAATTTGCCATCGTGTGAGTTCAGCCTTAAAGGTTCTTCGCACATATTCGAGCTTCAGTTGCGAGTGACACCCGGCTGGCAGTTATGATTGACACCGATGGTCGTTGGCTTTGGTCTGGCCTGGTCGACGGCACGCAGGGCCGTGCTTTGTTCTTGAGTTTTAATTCGAATTGCGGATATGTGCGCGGACGTGCCTAGCTTGTGAATGCGCAGTCCGCTCTTTGAATGGCTAGCAAAGAGCGGACATTAGGCATTAGGCATAAACAAATCGACTATTACAATTGCCAGTGAGCAAGTTCGTTGCTTAAATCTTTTGATTTGACCCCGCAATGGCAGCGGCATTACGAATGGCCGTGAACGCAATGTGTGTGCAGCACGAAGCAAGCCAATTGCATATATGTATCTGAGGGAACTGCACAAGTATCTTAGGGTCAGTGTATCTTGGACATGGCGCCAGAATTCAGATTGCAAACTAAAAAGTGTCTGCTTACAGCAAACTGAACACAAGAACGCGCCAGCGCGACTCGGCATTGAATGAAACGTCAGCGGAAAGCAAAACATTGCGGCAGCAGATTGTGGCACTCAAAGCCAGCCGCGATGAGGCAATTGCGGAAAATGGGTACGTATGCATAAATAAATAATCTTAGGCAATGCCGAACTGCATCAGACATTAGTCTGACCGGTCCGCATTAGCTACTCTTTGTTTCATTTTTATTGTGCCCGATCATTAGCTCGCTTTTTGTGCGACTTTTTACGATAATACTTTATGTGATTCGTGTGTGTCTCAACAGGCGACTCACGGACAAACTGAGCGACGCCCAAATTGAGTCCAAGACGCTGCAAAAGAAGCTCAAGGACTCGGAACAGCAGGTGGCTAATATGAAACAGCAGCTCCACAAATATGTCCAGGAGGTGAAGAGAGCCGAAGATTTGCTTATGAATAAGGTATAGAGCCAAATAATATTATAACTAGTTGATAAGGCAGGCGTATTGAAGTTTGTGCTAAACTGCTAGGTATACTTTGTCTTAAAGGAAAAGGAGCGTGAGGAATTGCTAGAGCACTATCACAGCTTGACCCACGACCAAGTCGTTCTGGAAGGCAACAATCAGAGCCTGGAATTTGAGGCGACAGAGTTCAAGTAAGTAGCACATTATGTGAGATTATCTTTAGCTGAACTAATTCGCATATTCATAAATACTTACAGGCGGCAAATTTGCGATCTGGAGTGTGAAGTACGTTCGCTCAAGGATCAGCTCTGCTGCCGACAGTGCAAAATTGACGATTTGGAGATGCAGCTGACAGCCGCGCGCGCCTCTATGCGCTGCTTGGAGCGGGAACTCGAGAACGCACGCGAGCAGAAGATAGAGCTTGATGTGCGCAAGGAGTTATGTGATAAATTGGACATTGAAAAAGATAAGCTAAATGCCGAGTTAAACGAACTGAATGAAGTTCGCAGGAAGGTAAGCTTTTGTGTTTATAGTGCGGGGCTCCGAGACGGACACTAGCAGACTTTGCCTTTCTCAGTAAACTCTACTTAGTATTTAACTTCAACTATACTTGACTATATCTTCCTTGCCATTATCGCTTTGTGTGCTCTAACATTAGCTTTTGGAATGAATTGAAATGCATTCGTACGTACTTTAATTAGTAATTAGTAATTAGTAATTAGTCGCTTTTAGTTAGCTCGTTTAAAATAAGCCCGCGTTCTCTAGTCAACTATACCATAAAAAAACACACAATTGCAGCTGGAAAAAGAATGCGAAAAACTGCGCAGCGAACTACAGGAAAAGTTTGCATTAAATCAGGTAACCACCGAGACTACGGAGCAAATGCTGGAGCGGATACGCGGCGATCAGCAGCGCCAGGATGAGGCGGAATTAAGCGCGAAGCGCGAAATGGAGCGACTTAGGCAGCTGCACGCAAAGACTGTGGTAACTAATTCATTATAAAACATACCAGAAAACGAAGGCATTTCATTGTCATCCAAAACAGAGGGAACTCCATGAAGAGCGGGAACGTTGTAATCAACAGGAACGTCTGGCCAATCAGTATGAGCGCCAAGCACAAGAGTTGCGTAAAAATTTAACCGAGGATCGCTTTTGTCAGGCGCGCTCAAGGGAAGTCAGTCCCAAAGTCGCACCCAAAACGCTATAAAATAAGCCAAGTGATGAAGTCTAAGATTATTTTTAATTTTATTGTATTATACTCAAATAGATTTAACATTTGGGCATTAGGATATAAAGCTCTAAGTATTTTTAATCAAATTTGTACTGTTCACACAAACCTTGACTTTTGCATTTATAGACTTTTTAATTATAAGCGAATATATATGTGTAATTTTGTATTTGAATATTATATTAATATTAAATTAAGTTTTATAGTTAGGTATTGCAATAGCTTAAATTAATCTTATTTGTTGTCAGTTTATTGTATTGTAATATTCAAAAATATATTTATAATATTTAGGCAGCGAGCGTAAGAAAACTATTTTAAGTATCAAGTTAATATATAAGTCGAAAGCTGAACACATTAATCCGGCAAGATCCAGCTGTTAAGCCCACCATAAGGTCTTGGCTTACACATGCCAACCAACTTCAGATACTCTTCGTACATGCAGGGACATCCATTAAAGGGCGGAATCTCGCGTTCCGTTCGGGCCTCATTGCAGGTTATGTAATCGTCTTCGTAGTTGGACTCATTACACGTAAACTCTGTGCCCGCCGTGCTGCTTGATCCTAAGGAATGAAAACGAAACATTTGATGGAACTCATGCGTGTAAATTATTTTACTTACTGTATGAATCCATAGGGCTCCCATCATCAGCATAATCGTTGCCATCAGGAAAGTCTTCTCGGAAAGTCTTCTGTGCACTGCCTATGTCTCTGCTCATGCTTTGTTGGGGCACTCGCTCCCAGTCAACGACGCTGCGGCAGCTCTGGACCGTGTTGCTTCTCTCGCTGAAGCCGCTTTCATCTTCAAATGTCACGGAACGTGTGCGCCTTTCACGCACGGTGCACCTACTCTGTGCACTCTGTTCTCTGATTGCCAGCTGCTCCCTGTCATAGGATTCTTCACATGGAGACTCGAAGTTGTGTATTAACTGCTGCTGACTGGAGAAGTAGTCGCCCTCAGAGGCACATGGCTCCTCCAGTTGTGGGATGTATTGTGAATCATCGCACAGATTGAAATGTTGTGCATCTTGGTCTTGTAGTGTCAACGTTGCGTCCATTATTGGCGACGGACTACGCTCTTGCATGGACAACCTAGTATTACTCAGTTCTTCCACTGTGGAGTCATATTCGGCTGTAGTATCTTCAAACGGTGCACACTCTTCAAGTCGATTTATGCTGTCGAAATGAGGATATTCTGATAAACTTCCGTACTCCGTAGCTGTTAAGTTTAGCGGTAAATTTTGCTGGTTTCCGTAGTCCACGTTCCTGTTGCTGCGATCCGTATTCACTGGAGTTAAACCAGGACAATTGCAATCTTCGTAGACTTCTTCCGTGTAGTCTACCTCTTTTTGCCGGACACCGGAACTATCACTACAGATTTGGTGGCTTTGCGGAGAATTGTTCGTCAATTCATCCCATGGAACAAACTCTCTGGGAGATCTAGTTGTGTCTGGCGAGTTCTGAATCGGATCATATGCCTGGGATTCGAAAGGTGCAGGGCGTTCAGCTGCAGGGATTGGGCCATTGTCATATGCAAACTCTCTGGGAGATCTAGTTGTGTCTGGCGAGTTCTGAATCGGATCATATGCCTGGGATTCGAAAGGTGCAGGGCGTTCAGCTGCAGGGATTGGGCCATTGTCATATGCAAACTCTCTGGGAGATCTAGTTGTGTCTGGCGAGTTCTGCATCTGAACATATGCCTGGGATTGGAAAGCTTCAGGGCGTTCAGCTGCGGAGATTGGGCCATTGTCATATGCAAACTCTCTGGGAGATCTAGTTGTGTCTGGCGAGTTCTGCATCTGAACATATGCCTGGGATTGGAAAGCTTCAGGGCGTTCAGCTGCGGAGATTGGGATATTGTCATATCCAAACTCGGCGCGTGGAGACCAAATAACCGGATCACTTTGGACGACCTTTCTATGGGATTGCTGTTGGTGATACGATAAACATGGCTCGTAGATAGATAGACTTGATATGTTTCAAAGTACTTACTCCGTGGGCCACAGAGAATATTGGTTGTTCCGAAACCGGGCCCAAGTTGCGTCGTGTCGCAGACCTTTGAGCAGCATTTTCCTGATTCAAGCTTAGGAGCTGATCATGTGTTAGTATTTCGGGACACTCTTGCCATTCCTGGGAGTCGCTTTGATTATCTGTTTGGGTTGTCGTTTGCTTACGAATGATGCCCCGGGACTGGGATATGTAGCTTGATACTGACGGACCAGCTATTTTGGGTGACGTTTGACTAGACTGGTTGCTCATCGACGGCGGCTGCTGCGCCAGTTGCCACTGGCTCACACCGCCAGCACCGTCCACGTAGGATGAGCAATCATCAAACAAGTCCTCTACTACTTCATCCGTTTGACAGCTTGAGACTGTTTTTACAATGTCATTTCGCCTAACGGAGAGAGTACGCTTTTGGAATTTGTCCGCCTTAGCCTCACAGCTTTCATATTCGACGCTGGAGGAATTCGCCATTTGTTGCATGCAGCTCTTGGATACCACCGTTTGCGCAACCGTGTCCTGGCATATCTTCCCCAAAGGTGCTGCTTCCGAAGAATCTTCATATTTACACTGATCAGGCGCAAACGTCACCTGACGACTTGTGGACGTATCTATGGTAAATGAACGACAATGTTTTGCACTTGTGCTTTCCCGTACAGGCAGTTTTGTATAGGTGGGAGATATTCCGAGCTCTGACGTGCTTATGCTGGAATCCTTTCCGGCGGTTTTCTCATGCTCCCTTCTGTACATTTCCATGTACTCGCGGTGCATGCGTAACTTGTCGTCGTCCATCTGGTAGCTATCAACAGCTGGCGCCTGCGCTGCCACGTATGCTTTGATGATCATTTTATCCTTGGCTGGCTTCGTCTTCGATAATTCCGATTGCTGTTTTCTAAAAGAAATTTTCATTACTTTGTCTGGTTTTTGCCGCTGATCTTTCTGAGTTGGGTACTTAGAGGGGCTTTCGGATTTCCCCTTTTCTTTTCCAATGCGACGCGTTTGCGGTCGCGGCGAGGGGGATCTAGAGAGAAAATGGTCTTTAGCTTTTGGAGAACGATCACGCTTTGACAAAGGATCTGGACACCAATTGCGACAGAACTTATCCGTATTCAAGTCCGTTTTACGCCTGGAACAACTCGGCCTGGAACACGTACAGCTGGACATCATTGAATCTTGCTTTTGGCAAACTATCCCGGCCGGATATTGGTATAACGGATCGGGCGAGTACGGCACGGGCACAGGTTCGGGCATATCACAGGTCCTATAACTGTTCGAACTGCACTGGGGACAAAAGGAGGCGCCTCCGTACTGACAGTAGTCGCTCTGATAGATTGAGCACGGCCGCGACATATCATCGCAGTGTCCATAGACACAGCCCCCACACATTCGGTTGATCTTCTGTTCCGGTTGAATTGAATTTTCATCCAAAAGACAATCAACAGCAGTCCGGTTGGCCCGGTTGGAATCGACCTCCTCGCCGGCACTCGATTTCGGGGAGGATGCGACGCACATGGTCCGAAAATACGGTTGTCTGTCGCCAGTGTCTGGCGAGGAAAATCCTATGCTTTGCAATTCTTGCCGATTGGATGACGTTGGACTCTCATCAAAAGTGCGTCCTTTGTGGTTTCTTAATATCTTCTGACGCCAATGCAAATGCTTGACAGTCGCCTTTGACGGTGCCGGCTTTTGCTTCTGGACCGGGCTCTGGTCGTCCTTTAAGAAAGAATATCGGAAATTCTTCAATTTTCCAATCTCACGTTCAATCTTCTTGTGGAGCGCCTTCACCTCCAGACTGGTCTTCAGCAATTGGCTATCGGTGTGAGAAGAGGAGCTTCGACAAGGCTCGTTTAAAGCCTCGCGCCGATAAAGTTCGCGGACCTGGGTTTGAGTGTTCTTGATGTACATATCGCCTCGACCTTCAATAGATATACGCTGCTTTCGCTCCAGCAAAAAACTGGGACCTTTTGGGACTTGAATTATTATTGATCTCAAGTATACAAATTTAGTTTGGAATGCGTCTCTAACAGAACTTACCCAAACTTCTTTGCTTTTTATCATTATTAAAATCCATAACCAATTTCTTAGCAGAGAGAAAAACAATTTATAAAATATAAGAGTGTTAATGTAGGAGTTTATTTAGAAATTAATTTAGGAATTTATCTGATATGGCTAAACTATTTCTGGCATGCTTTATGGGCACACAAAGTATATGTTCCTCTCAAATCTAGTTGTATGTAAAATGTTTTGTTTTTAAATTATGACGAGGGAAAAGATTATTTGGTTTTCGCAGTTTATATTGCTGGTCGTCTGTCAATTTGAAAAAATTTTCCAAAAACAGTTTGTTCGCATAAATGGTAATGTTTGAAATTTAAAAAATGACACCTAAGGTAAAAGAAATTTCCCTCTTGCTCGCCCTCTTATATTCCCCTAGCTGTGCCTACCCAAGTCAGAAACCATCTATTGTTTGTCTAATACACAAGCCTAAATATTTAAATTTTCTCAACTGCACTGCTTTATTATTTTCAACGAATCTGTCAAGAGGTGGCGCTTTAAGTGCACAAGCTGAGCTAATTGACTAATTTGCGTTTTTCACCCGAATAAAATAAAATTAAGACTAATTAACAAGTCAATATATAAGCAGGAATACATATCCAGGAAAATCTCTATATATAAAACTTCTTTCCCTGACCGACAAGCTGACTGATCCCAGCCTACTTGTTAGAAAATGCGATTTGAAGATTTTTTTGGCGAAGTTTTATGTTTTGTCCTATTGGCTTGAAACTTTTTTTTTTCAAAGCACAACATAAAAACTTTATTAATACGTGCTTATATATATGTGGGCTTGTATATATTTTTGTATGAATATATGTATGTATGTATGTATGTATGTATGTATGTATGTATGTATGTATGTATGTATGCATGTATGTATGAATGTATGAATGAATGTATGAATGTATGTATGTATGTATGTATGTATATATGTATGCATGCATGTGCATATATATTTATGTGTATATGTATTTGTGTGTGTATGTATGTCTATGTATGTGTGCATGTATGCATTTGTATATGCGTGTTTGTATGTGTGTATGTTTGTGTAAATGTTTGTGCACATGTAACTCTGTATGTTTATGTATATGTATGTTGGTATATGTGTACATATGTATTTAATATGTACGTATGTGTTTATTTTTGTATGCACGTGCGTATGAATATGTGTATGTATGTATGTATGTATGTATGTATGCATGTATGTATGTATGTATGTATGTATGTACGTATATATGTATGTATGTATGTATGTATACATGTATGTTTGTAAGTATGTATATGTGTATGCATGATTGTATGCGTGTCATTCTTCACAAATGCCCTACTACGCGATTCTCATAAATTCAAGTAAGTCTCATAGTCTTCACCTCAAGAGGAGGAGGCGGCTTCAACTGAGGAGGAAACGGCGGCGTTTTTATTGGAGGATACTGGTTTAACTATGGAGGAGGTGGCTTCAACTGTGGAAGAGGCGGCAGCTTAACTAAAGGAGGAGGCGGATTAAACTATGAAGGAGCCAGTGGCTATAGCTTTGGTGGAGGATATTGAGAAAACTGGTACATATAATATTCAGAACTATGTCTTATTATATTTAAAATAGTTTGCATGTACTTGAATACATGTATGTATGTATTAAAATATGTGGGTATGTTGAGCTTAGCTAAAAATTACCAAGACATACATTCCCACTAATTCAAGTAAGGTTTAGAAAACAAGCAGCATTTTTAATCTAATACCCAATATTTCTGCTTTTCTGTTCCAGTTTCCACCCCAATCCACAATTCACCAGTTGTTTAGAATTTTGTTAGCCTGCTTGCACGAGCTCGCACCACTGTGCACAGGCTATTTACTACTCTGCGCTTGCCGCCGAGGCGCACACATGAAGATTAAGAGCCAGTTCATTCAGTTGTCGACTGTCAGCCGGCGCGCTCGCGGGTGTTGTGTGCTCTCCGCCGTTCGAAAAGCTGACAATAGCCGGGAATACGGCAATGTCTCTTGGTAAAGCGAAATTCCAATTAAAAATATAGCCAATTACTAAAGGATTTGGAATCAAATTGTAAGAAACGTGGCCATACGAAATATGTTGCTCTGATAAGCGGATCTATGCGAGTACTCGTTAGGTCAGAAGTCAAAGTGCGAGTGCATCAAAGTGTTACGAGTACGCGATTTCGCTGGGGTTCGAGTGCACAATAAAAGCCGCCAGTGAAGTGCCCCGCTTTGGTTGTGCATCCTCGCGTGAACTTTCGAAAAGTGGCGCCATTTGCGGGGACAGCTCCTTTGTGTGCATTGTTACCCAGCTGCATATAACTAAATCAAAGCCAGAGCCCGCCCGGAACAGTAGTCACATCCAGCACTCGAGTCTTTGTCATTTCACAGTGTACATGCCGCATGCGGCATGCGGCTGGCATATGAGTTAATATTTGTCTAGTTTTTGTGAGTTTCCCTTTTGTCTTTTGACTTCTGAGATGTCAGCTTTGTCGGGGGAAACATGGCCATCATCCTGGCGCCTTTGTGTGAAAGCTTACAACAAATAGCACCACTTACACACTCTTTGAGAGTGGAACCCTTTAGCAGGATATAATGCACTTGCATGCGAGCTTACGAGCGTGTGTGTGTGAGTGAGTGTGTGTGTGTGTGTTTAGTAAGTGGGCGGTTCCATTGCGCCGTAAAATATGCAATTAGAAGGACATCAAAGCGGTATGCCGCCAGCCCTGTAGGGCCAGGGCCCAGCCTCATCATTAGTGCGCAGCCGTGTGTACATGCCATGTGCAAAGTATGTCAGTTTGTCAGTCTCTTTTTAAAAGCGGCATACATGTCTGTTTTCCGCCTCTGTTTTCGTGTAAATATATATATTCTTATATATTCTTATAAATAATTTTGTTCACTTTTGATAAAATGTCGCCACGACACGATGCGTCGCGCCGCTTTCTGCTCCGACTTTATTCTTCAACACTTGCGAACGGCCGCGCGAGGTCAATTGGCTTAATTAGTGTGTGAGAGGGTAGGGATAAGTTAGAGGGGGGGGCATGTGCGCGGGTCGGGCATCTTACAATCCTCAACCCAACAAGCTTATACATTTGTTATTTTCGAATGCGTTCGCATCGCTTTTAATGAAATCGACGCGATTTTCACTATCTTGAAACAGAAATCACTTTCATTGAGTGAACCCATCGGAATATGCGCATACGAATCGGAATATTGGTGCCTTGTACAGAAATATTACGTATACAAACTGCATTTGCGAATGGACGCAATTCGTCAGAGCTGGCGAGTAAACATTATTCGGTGACATCCGTTTCCCTTGGCTGATAAGCTGATGTGCACAAAATGCACTTACCACAAGGACGTTAAGGGCAACCACAAAGTGTTATCAGCTAAAGAAAAGAAAAGAAAACATAAAAGCACAACTCGAAAGCAACTATACAAAAATGCAGGCCTCTTGGCTCTTGTTCGGCATTGCACTTGTAACGCTCAGTGTCAGTGCCCTGAAACTGGAGCAGCAGAAGGAGCTGAGTCACAGCGACAGGGACGGCCACACGGCTCTCCATCCGCGTCGGCGCAACAAGCTCAGCGGCGCCTCAACGGGCAGCCGACGGCCACAGTTACGGCAAGGCAAGGACCAGCCAGGCACCACAAGCGAGGAGGACGAGGAGGAGGGCTACGATTGGATCGATGTGGATACCAGCGCAGCAGAAGATAGCTCAAAGCTGGCCCCCGAGCCAAACGCAGCGAGCAGTGCTCCCCGGGGTAAGTCCACAGTTGTCTTATCAGCAAAAGTTCTGTATGGTTGACCTTTTTGCCGCTCGGGACTTCAAAAGCAGCATCTTATCGGTTCGCACTGCTCGCGTTTTTTATTCATAAACTGATTCATGTTGCGGTAGCCTCTGTACACAACTCTAGCTTCAAGTCTTTTGAATTTGTCAGAAACTTATGTTGCCCCAGTGTCACCGAAATTTAGCTAATCAAAGACCTACAAACATATTGATTGGCATACACACATACATAAATATATCTGTGTATCTGTTTTCAGAGTGTTTGCCTCATATTTTCACGTAATCCGCACATGTGATGATCTCTCATCCGCTTAGTCACTTAATCAAAGGCAATATTCAAGAGGGAATGAAATGTTTTAATTGAAAGTGCCTGATGATGAGCAGCTATAAGCTCACACACATACACATGTGTGTGTGTGTGTGTGTGTGTATCGAAAAACAGTGGCGTATGCTAGAATTTTATTCGGGGTGAAAATTCTCTATAATTATAAAATTCAAATTAATTATTACTTCCTTTCACTTGAATCAAAAGAGTACTTGAGCTATAATTAAATGATTGGAATGTTCTAAAACAAGTCCCAATACTTTGGTATTACAAAAAATATCCTTTTTATTGGTTAAATATATAATTAAAGTGACTATGCTTGAGATGAGTTACGATAGATCTGATACGTTCCCGAATATGGGCCAGAATTTTACGTATTCACTTCGATTTATTTGATACAAAAATAGTTTCAATTAAAAGGGAACGTTGAAAGCTTAATGCAGCAATCAAATATGTGTACATAAGTTAAAATCAGTCTGTGCTGCACTGTTTAGTCCATCCTCAACGCCCCTTCGGATCCCTGCGTGCGCCACTGTCCACATGCATATGTGTATCTGAGTGCGAATATGAATCTAAATTGAAACTGTGTTAAAGACTTATTTAAACTAGTATAGCAACGGCTGTTTGCGGCTGCTGGCGCCAGCATATTCCACATTTGAGTAGCCTCCTCCTCAACCTAGCCTGGGCCTGGGCCTGACCAAGCCAACACCAACGCCAACACGAACACCATCAGCGCCATCAACACCAGCAGCGCTGAGTTATGGGGAGTGTGTGTGTGTGATAAATTTGTTAGATTTCCAATGAAATGGTATTTTATGGTCTGCACATATTTGTCACTGGGGCTGCTTAACTGCGATTCGCCTGCAGTTTGCAAAAAGGGAGCTCTATGAGAGCCGCGTCTGTGGTTTGATGCCTCGCATGCCAATGCATTTGTCGGCATTATCAATTCATTGACAATCATTAGAAATGCTTTGCATACTAATATGTGCCGAGTGCCTGCGGACTGTCCGGTTTTATTGTTATTTGTTTTGATGTGCGCATAAAGCCAATAATAATAAAACTATTATTTATGCGTGCATGTTGAATGTTTGATGAGCTGCCACCCTCTGCGGCGGTGGCCCTGCTTCAAAGTCAGCCACGCCCCAAACAAGTCCATTGCAGAGACTATTTGGCTCCACTGTGGCCGAGTAAGATAACTGCGCTTGCATTGTTCGAGCACATTGTACCGGAGGCGGCAAATCTTGGCTCGACCAATCAACTGCGGCGGCATTTGACATACGTTTGCGCACCAAGAAATCCGTAACTCGGCTAAATTAGCTGCTATTGAGACGTTTCCTTTATTTATAGGCTACATCTGCCGGGGTGCTTCGGCCCATGTTGACAGCCTCTAAGATCATTGGCCACACTGTGACAGACGCCGCGCGAAGACTGCGCAACTTTGCAACTTGTAATAAAAATAGCACTTGACGTAGGCAAATAAAAAAAAAACAAATCAAAGTGCACGAGCTGACAGCGATCGACTTAGAGATACCCTGTAAACTCTAGAAAAGTTCCCCTTTGAATAACTTTTATGCTTATAAATGAATGTTTATTGGTTATAAGAGCTGGGATGGTTCAATTGAGAGCTACGTTTTAAGGGTCAAGAATATTCCCATCAATTCGTTTAAATATTGTTCACTAATTGTTATTAACATTGACGAAACAATGATATTAATGTTGAATACATATTTAATAATATCGCGTTTCGTCCTATCGTATGTATTACAGCTCCACAAAATCTACTAAAAAAGCAGTTGATAGACAATTATATATATAATTGAAAAGAAGATTATTGAGAACTGTCGATTTTGAGCAGATTTTTTGCTTTTGAAGTTGTTCATTTGATGCGATATAAATATAAATACATATTTGCATATATTTTTGAGGATTTGCTCAAGCATACCCCTTTAGCCCAGCCATATTGTTATAGGGTATGAGAACATGATCGTCCTAAAAATAAATAAAAAATATTGCCTATCAAAAGGAAATTTGTCACAGCTCTTACAAGCAATAATCCATTCTTGCTAAGGATTCACACATTTTAATTGCTGAAAATCGTATTTTCCATTCGAAATTCGAAAATTAAATGCCGACAATATTCCGTAACGAACGCGTGGAAATCAAAAATCATTTCATCAGACTTCAAAGTAAATGCTCTAAAATTAGTCATAACTAAAAACTGTCGCAGTCGGACGGAAAAATAGACGCTGGTATGGATAGTATGCCAAAAATACGGGAGGTAGACGGCAAAACTGGGGAAATTGTCGAACCTGTGCCCGCGCCCCCGCGCCCCCCGCCTGCTCACCGCAGCACAGCAATTGCACACTTAATTAATGAGTAGTGCTTTTGATGTTTCGGAAACTTAAGCAGCTGGGCCCATATTTAGCGAGAGGCAGAGAGTTCCCAGAGTGCCTGCCGCAAAGCATGTGACAAAACGACATTTTTCACGCACTCAACGAAACTCTTTGAACCCACCCCAGAGGCTGTCGCTCGCAGCCCGGCAAGGGTGAGGCATGTGGCGCACATGTTGCACGTTGTTCGCTGCCTCTGCCTCTGCCTAGCTGCCTGCCTGCCTGCCTGCCTGCCTGCAACGCCAAAGTTCAACACCCAATGAGAAATCACTAAATGATGCGAGCCAAGGCAAGTGCTTAATAAGTGATCAGTCAGACACATGTATGTAAGCCATGTAGAAACATTTGCATAGATAAGCTGGCCAATTGGTGTGAATCGAACTAATTGCGTGCCCAGGGATCATCGAAGTCAACCAGCGAAACGACAGCGACACCATGTTGCATGTTGCAAGTCTGTCCCTGGGCGGGAATATGTCTGCGTCCGATTCACATGGCAAAAATGTGGCATAAGCTGCGCCACATAATCGGGTTCGGGTACCTCGGCCACTTTTTGACAGGGTTTTAATGAGATCGGATTTTGCATTTTACCAGCCGGTTAAGGCTTGCTTTAAATTTGTTTTGATGCCCTTGGAAAGGGCATTTTAATATTTGCACGAAGTCTGCAACGCGTTAAAGAAGAAGAAGACTCTGAATCTCATTAATTATATTCTTGATATAAGTAGAAATCGGGCATATAAATGATCGTCGAAAAATTGTTTTCAAAGATCCAAAGACAATATAAATATTTATATATATATGTTTATATGGTCCTAGGCTTTCCTACTTATACATACATATATAATCTAAGTCCTGTCAGCATTGGATCATTGTATCATAGGAACGATCAGTAGGCAATAAAGTTCTCTTTTTAAGATATTTTTACCTATATCTATATCTATATCATAAGAAGCCCATAGAAACAATCGGTTGGAGATACAATCATATTTAAGGGTATTTAATCTTCGGAGTGCCGAGGACAGCTGTTCTTTCGTGTTAAATTGTCTGACTGGCGTCAAATGCCTTGATATGCGCTTGCACCAAACTTTATCTGACTGACTTTTATTTTATATTTATATTTGCAGATATCTTCACATGTTGCAATCAGGTCTTTGGCTCATGTCGCACAGCATGCGAGAACGTAAGTAGCGGAGAATATTTATGTATATTGAAAAAAGGTTCAACGATTTCCTCGCCTTTACATGAGAGTCGAGTCTTCTCAGACAAAGATAGAATAAGTTATGATATACACACACGCACACAAACACACACACACACATATGCACATGACTGACCGACGACTGTTCGACTGTTGATCTGTTGATAAGGCGAAAAACTACTGTGTCGAACATTTCCTGGTATTTAATGCCCATCGATCGCAGCGTGCCGCATACTAAACCAAGCGCCAGTTTGTCGTTAAAATAAGTTATTAGAATGCAATGCGCGCGGTAGGTTCAGAAAATTATTATGACAGGTAATTTCCATCATACAAAAGAACTTTTCAACTCTGTTCAACGGCAACTTCCGTTGTCGCCGTTTGATTTTTTCTCGTTTGTTGCCTTGTCCCGAAAAAAAAAGTCAAGCCGAGGCGCGATTAACTAGCTAATACTGCACAGATAGCTGAAATCCGACCAATTACGCTGTTAATTAGCATCCACCGCAAACAGGTAATGTGCAGCAAGAGCAATCGACCAATCCAACCTGTTTGCGACTAAATGCCATTCATAAAGTTAAGCATTTGAGTAACAAGAAAGAACCGATATCTTCGACAGGTTGAAGATCACATACTCTTGTCTGTCAGACTGAGTCTATATGAGCCGTATAATTATATAGTATATCGATTAGAAAAGAAAGTAAAGTGAATCGGGTAAAGGCTGAGTTTGGTCAAGATATCTTGAAAAACGAACTTTTCTGTAGCAGCCATATTATATAAAGATCCGATCTGGCCGATTACGTCATGTGTATTGACTGCAACCTTCATGAAGTATATATTTATAATGCCATTCATAAAGTTAAGCATTTGAATAAGAAGAAAGAACGGATACCTTTGGCAGGCTGAAGATCATATACGCTTGTCGGTCAGACTGAGTCTATATGAGCCGTATAATTACATAGTATACCGATTCGAAAAGAAAGTAAAGTGAATCGGGTAAAGGTTCAGTTTGGTCAAGATATCTTGAAAAAGGAACATTTCTATAGCACATTTCCATCATGAAGTATATGTATAATTTGTGGGATCGGATAATTCCTCTGCCATGCATTACACATTTCGCGACAAAGTCATAATACCCTTGATAAGAGTATTAAAAATGTGTGTGCCGTTGCTGAATGCCGCCTGGCACCTTGTCTAGCCGACCCGCAATCAAATCACCGACATCATTTAACTTTGTAATCATAACAATTTCTAAAACCAATTAGTTTCTGCAACAGTTTCTCGTTTGTGTGGCAGCAGAAAATGGGCTGTGTTTTTCATTTATAAATGCAAATGAAGGCATTAAATCTTTGCTCAAATTGAATCTGACAAAATGACAGCTACGGCTACAGGATAATACCCGTTCCCGGACCGGTTTACTGCATTGGGTGCAGCAGCATCAGCAGCCGCAGCCGCAGCACAGCATCAGATCGAATGGAAACCGGAACCTCAATTGAAATTGAAGACATCTCTCAAATCTTTCTCCTGCAGTACTCACGTACCCAAAAAACGTGTGAAAAGTCGAGCCTGATACCGTCTGGCCGATAATTGCGATTTCCGCACATTTCACTATTGACAAAATACTCTACTCGTCTCCACTCAAAATCTGTCTCATTTGTCGCAGGCGTGGCCAAACAATAATTGCTCCGAGAGTGTGCCTATCTTGATGGCTCAAACAACTTAAAAAGATGTAGCACAAGTGAGCACGAAATGCCGGACCTGTACACTCTAAAAAAACAAGTACTACGTTTCAAATTTTAGAAAATGTTCAAAATTTTGGAAAGTATTTTCGAAATACAATAACATTTTTCAAGCTATAAAAGGCTTCTGCCATTTTCATTCGAACTTCGAGGATTGATTACAGATCAAATATTTTCTTACGAAATGGACAGATATTAAATTAAGATATAACATTAATGAAATATGTTATTTATGGGAATTTTCTAAAAACTTACCCATAAATTTCTTCAAGTGTAATATTGCAAGCGTGTCTCTCGGCATGTGGGTAGTGTGTGTATATGTGTATATGTATGTGGGAGCGGGCCTATGTGTAACAGGCCATGACATTCATTCCGAAGAGCAACAAGGTTGTAAAGGAAGTTGGCCAATGGGTACGTGTGTGTGTGTGTGTGTGTGTGTGTATGTGTGTATGCATGTAGATTGTGCTTGGTGCGAAGACAAGCCAGAAAGAGAGGAGTATAAGATCTTTAATAGACATCGGTGGACTCAGATTACTGCGGCAGATAAACGAGCCGAAATATTTGTTGCTTGCCTTATTTATGATCCAGCGGGTTGTCCCGCAGGCTGCCCTCAGAAACGAGCAACATCTCGAATGTAACATAATACACGTGCTATGCACAGACAATGGAACCTCCAAACCAACTGCAGGGCAGCCAGAGACTGCAACGTGTGAGACAGCCCGGAGGTGGTGAATATGCCATGCTGCAATTAAACACTGCCAAATTAATTGAAACCCAATCGCAACTTAAAACCAAACAGTTTTATGAGAAAGCAACATTTGGTTAAATTAAGCAACCTATTTGAAATAAACACTTCCTTTTGCGAGATTGCTGAGAATACGTGTGCAAAACAAAGATTTTAATTAGTACTTCAAGTTAAAAATTTAGATGAAAAGAAGGATCATGGTTTAAACGTTGGTTCAATATGGTTCATGTTTATGTTTCAAAAGCACTTTAAAGCCACAATCTGGTTGTAGTTAGTTTATCTCAAATAATGCCAACTTCTTTTTTTTCAGTTATCGTTGGTCGAGTTGGACTTTGGCTATGGACGCGAGGAGCCTCGTGCAGAACTGCGAAAGTATTGCCAGCTGCATCAATTAGAGTTTTGGAGCTGTATAAATGGCACACTTGAAGGTAAATGTGATTAACCGAGTACTTAAGAAGTTTTGTACATTTTTTGATTTGTAGCGGTTGACAGGGGTAAATCCTGGTCCGGTCGTCGATGCTGTCAACTGGCAGTTCTCCCCAAATGCAAAAATTCCTGCGCAACTGCAGCTGCCAGCCAGGAGGTGACTGAGGTCTGCCGGCGCAGCGACGAGCAAGTGCTCTACGACTGCTTCGAGCACCAGGAAGCGGCAGACAATTGCTGCGGACAGGCGCGCACCTCGGAGTGCCTCCAGGTAAGCCATATGCAATAAAAAGCAAATATAATGTTTAGATTCCATTTGAATCAGCCTGAGCTTATCTGAATATGTTTAAGAACGAATCAGCCTGAACTTATCTGAATATATTTAAGATCGAATAGCATTCTTCACATATTTCCTGACCAGATCAAGCTGTCATTAAGGCTAAGTTTAAGGGATTTTTTTTTGAATAATTTCAGTGGAATAATTCAAAGTAAATTTAGCAGAGTATTTAATTTTTCCCGCTGAATGTTGCTTGGTTTTTTTTTTTTAAAGCTATAAAAGCCGAATTAGTATTCACAATCCGAAAAAATATACATTATGGAAACTTTCCCCCATTTCTAATATAACAATGATATAATACTACATTTGGATAAAATCCCAAACATCCTTTATAAATTATGGAAATAAAATTTTCTTAAGCCCGAAATATTCCATTTAATTCCAAAAAGTTTCAATTTATTTTTCAATTAATTCATTTATATTTAAAGGCCTGTCGTGAAGTCTTTGAGCCCCCAAATGAAACTGGAACAAGCAACGGCGATGGAAAACTGGTGGATGAGACATGTGGGGAACGGAATGCGGATGTGCTGCAATGCATACACAACCACACGGATATGACACCTCTGCTGGACGTTGAGAAATGTAAGATGCCAAGATGCACCATTATAAATGTATATATTCTATATGATCAGTTTTAATTTTCTTCATCAGATTTGCCATGCTGCGAGTACAGTCGGGAGGAGAAGTGTCACCAAACGTGCACGAACGTGCTGCAAGCCTCTAAGTTGCATCAACAAAAGGAGAGTAGTGATGTTATCTTTGCGCGTCTTGAGGCGGGCTGTGGCAAGCCGTTGCCCCATCTGCCCTTTTGGCAGTGCTTTCTGACGGCCACACGGAAGCTGTATGTGCCGGCAGGTGCACACTCACAACGGCGGCCCGAGCTGGCGTCCAACGGAGCCGAGGAGCCCAATAAGCTGGGCATCGATGCCGCCAAGCGTCAGTGCTGTGAGCAGGCCAACAGCCACAAGTGCCGCCGTCTGTGCACCCAAATCTTTACCAACGACTGGTGGGAGACACGCGTCAGCTTTGATACCGAGTGCTTGGAGCAGCCCGCAGAGCTGGATCTACGGCGCTGCATCGAGAGCGTAGATGCGCCCTGTGAGCTTGGATGTCATGGGCTAAGCTTCTGCACAAACTTCAATAATCGTCCGACACAGCTCTTTCGCAGCTGCTCGACCGCACATGATGCGGCGGCCCGCGAGGATCTGTTGATGCTGCAGCAGCGTGGCTTTATACGCGTGCTGGGTCAGGAGCTGTTCATCAAGAATACCACTCGCTGTGCCCCTGACAAGTGGCAGGCACTCGTCTGTGCCTTACAGCTCCAGCCATGTACCCGTATTGGCCTCTATAATGGGATTTGTAGAGAAGATTGCACTGAACTGCTGGACGAGTGCTTGGACTGGACCAGGCAGCCGCAGCGTCCACAGGCGATCTGTGATCGGCTGCAGCCGCCAACAATGGATGACGAAGAACCTACGCCATGTCTCTCGCTACGCGCGTACTTAAAAGGCATTGATCCAGATGAAGAAGGAGCAGACGGCAGCAGCACAAAACTGGCCATCAATTCACCCTGCGCCTCTAAGCCGTGCAATGCCAGTGAGGCATGCGTGCTCCAAAGGAACGGCCGCCAAGGCTACTCTTGCATACCGGGCTGCAGCTTGGGACAAGCCTCTGCGCTAATCGTGCCCTTTGGGGCATATGTTCGCGTGGGAAAGATTCGCAATCCAAATGGTGGCCTTGCCAGCAGCCAGCTGAGTGCTGAGCACGTGGTCTGTCGATGTGGAATGCGAGGCAATGTAGACCTGTGTCAGCCACTTCCCAGCTACATCCACTCAAACTGTGTGCTCCCGGGCGGGCGCAGCTTTTCTCACGGCTCATCCTTTCATCTGGAATGCAATCTGTGCAGTTGTTTTGCCGGGGAAATAACCTGCACCAAGCAGCAGTGTCGTCTGCCAGGCTATGTGGATGCTGGATATACGAGCCTGCCGTGCAATTGCCCCGCCCACTATGTGCCTGTCTGTGGGGTCAATGGCAACACCTACCCCTCCGCTTGTGTCGCCAAGTGCTTGGGTCTGATGGAGAACAGCTTCGTCTATGGTGCTTGTAATGCCCGTAACGCCTGTCAGGGGGCCACAGGTGGTGGAGCACCTAGCTGCCCATCCGGCACTCAGTGCCTGGAGCGGCGCCAAGTTTGTCTTTCCAGCATGCAAAGACCATGTCCACAGTACATTTGCGGTAAGTGAGCTAACCAGCCCAGTAGATTGCAATAGGTTGAACGGCTTTATGACTTTGCAGTGAATGCATCCTCCTCCAACTGCGGCACTCAGCACGCAGAGGAGCTGTGCGATACTGAGGGCAAGACTCACCCGAATGCCTGCTCCCTGGTGCAGGCCAACTCTCAGTTAGCCTATTGGGGAGCCTGTCGGCCGGAGCACGACACCGGCAATGACTTGGGCCCAGTTTGTGGCATCAATGGAGTAACCTATCGCAGTAAATCCGCCGCATTATCCGAATTTGTGCATGTTGATTATGTGGGTCGATGTCGCGAAGTTGGGCTGTTGGTCAGCGATATGGGGCGGCGCTGTAGAACTGTCCAATGTCCGAGCCCTGTCTCGAAGCATTGCCATCACATTGTGCCACCGGGTGCTTGCTGCCCCATCTGCGGGGGCGCTGCTTTTCGGATCATATACTCACGCAAGCAACTCGACAGAGCCTACTATGCACTTCGTGGACAGCACAGCTCGTTGCTGACGTTGCGTGGCATGTTGCAGGAGCTAGATCACTTGGTTCAGGTGAGCGATTGCCAGTTGACCGGCTTTCTCACCATGGAGGTGGGCATCTTTGTGGCGCTTGTGCCCCGTGGTCGGCCCAGTTTTCTACAGCTGAAGGTTTGCGAGGCTGAAGCGGAGAAAATCTCATCCCTGATAAGCTCACAGTCACCGCGAATTACAACTAATCTGGCGCTATCCAGCCTGACAGTGTCTCATATGCTGGAACCCATGATGAATGGCGTCGCATTAGTGTCGCCTCACGGATTCGCTATTTTAGCCATCGGACTATTGGCATTGGCGCATCTGCGGATCTGGCGCAAGATAGATATTTAAGATTAAGATTATAGCTTAAGGCAATAATACGGTTTAACAAATCAAGTGAATTCTTGGTGCCAAACATTTAGTGGTTTAGTAAGCAACCCCAGCGTGCCTTTAGTAGGTAGGGATTGACCCTCTGTATGATGTGATATTAGCTGAAGTACTTGTAAATTTAAATCTATGGCAATATTAAAGACATGGATGACATGATGGCTAGAAAGTTAATACTCTTAAGTTTCAATTGTACCAACCAAAGCAGCGTTGTCCTTGCGCTAATTTACCTATGTTTACAGCTAGTCTAGAATAATAACTAAAATGTTAACGAATTTTACACACTACTTTTTTCTTGGATAAGTTTAAATGAAATGCTTTATTGTTCATTGAACCGCATCAAAACATAATTCCATTAATGCCATATTTGATATCACTTAAACCTAAGCCGCATGCCCTAAGATACCTCCATTGGCACGACCTGGACACGCTCAGTGATCAGCAAATCTTTAATTGTCGTGTGAAGTGTCGCTGTGGAGCCTTTTTTAAATTTATAGTCCAGCTGGCGCACGCCCTTCTTGTTGGCTAGCTCATAATTGCGCAAATACTCAGTGCTATCCTTGCGTATCACGCATAAATCGATATTTGATCCTGATCCAAGATCGTTGAAGACACCAGAAGCAATAGCGTCACGCACAAGCAACTTGCCCTCCTCCTCAGTTAAATCGGGTCTCCAACGACTCTCAAAGACGGCCATAGCTGCTAAGGAGCCCGAGCCCATGGTAGCGTAGGGCAATTTGTCGGCGCTACCATGGGGGTGAATAGAATATATGTGCGGGCCATATTTGTCGACACCACCCAGGACCAGAGCAGCACTAATGTGGCCCTGGTAACGGAATAGCATTTGCTTCAGTATATTGTTGGCGCACACCACGGGCACCTGTCGTTCCGTGCTGAGCCGGTGCAGCTCCAGCTGAGACGAAATCAAATCCGTGGTCATTTCGGTATCGGCGGCAGTGCCGGCACCACAGCAGCTGTGGCGAGCGAATATTCAGATAAGTAATCACGTATGTGCATAAAAATACGCTCTACTCACTAAATGTTTTTGGCCAGGTAATGGATCTTTGCGCAGTTTTTGTCAGATACAATGGGTCCCTCAGTGGCACGCGTGTCTGCACCCAATACAACACCATCCTTGAAAATGATGCCAACAATTGTGGTGCCCGTTTTCGTTGTTGTAGGCGGCTTGAAGCCACCCTGCAAGAGAGCAGCATTACTGAAATTATAAAAATGTACGTGAATACGTGAAGCTAATGGTAATATCACAAATACTAATTCTTACCGCCGGCAATTATCAAAATTGAAGCCAGCACGGGGCACATCTTGAGCCAAATTCATATTGAATTATTATTTTCTTTCTTTAAAATCTCAAAGCAGAATGACAGTGCAAATGACAAGCAGGAATTGTTGATATTATTTATCGAGAAGTTATTTGCTTGTATATCGAACTCTACGCGGCGATTTATCGGGTTGCTGTGTTTTGACGCAGCCCTGGGACAATTATTAGGGGACTTGAATGACTGCTTCCCGTAAGTATATTGTAAAATAATATTTTAATGAACTATACTTATAATATTTAATTTAATTTAATTAATTATGTATATTTCAGACCAATATGCTGCTTATTAATTATAAAAACGGATTGTGTAACTGCTCCTGTTACTTATGTCACGACTGTGACTTGCAGCATTAATAATACCAAGTAACAGTATTCATGTATTACACATGCTTTCACGATTACCGTGGTAATCAGCTGTTTACATCTTGATTATTTTTGTGGCATAAGAAACATATTATTTGTGAATAAACTGCAATGGCTGCGGCAACGAAACTGCTGAAAAAATCATTAGGCGCCTTTACACAGATACAGCAATGCCGAAGCAATGGTAAGTGACCATTAACAGAAACTTATTAAATGCCGCATTCAGAGACCATTTATGTAATGCCGGCTGCTTATGTACCTTTGTAGAAAGTATTATAATTGGGCATTTAATGTATTATTTGGATCAGTATCAATAGCCGAGTCGATTTAACCAAGTCCGACAGTCTGAATATATGCAAACTATTTCCAAAGATGTTCGCATATTCTTGTTTATCCATGAGAATTATTCTTAGTCTTGATTTGTATATCCGTATAAAAAATAATTGTGAACTATATTGAATTATTAAATTATTGCTTCATAATTCCAATTTCAGCAAACCTTTCCGCTTCAGTCGGACAACGCAATGAACTATTCAACCAAGAGCAGCGACGTCAGAGAGACGCGGTTGGCCGTATTGAGAAGATCGAAGTGCGTTACTTGGGGCTACCCGAGGACGTGACTCTGGTAATGAACAACAACATCTCAACTCCATTCAATTGCGCACAGCACTTAAGCGAGGGCCACTGCAAACGGTCTGCGTTGGCCTTAATAGATGGCAGTGTTCCGTGGGATATGCACAGACCACTGCAAGAATCCTGCACATTGCAACTGCTTAACTTTAATGTCTCCGAACCACACGTGGTCAACAAGTGAGAGAGAAGGTCGAGCTTCTTGGTGTACGCAACTAATAGATTACTTTCTAACATTACAGGGCTTTTTGGCGCACCTGCAGCTTCATGCTAGGCGCTGCTTTGCAACGGGCCTTTAGGCAGGAAGCAAACCTACAGTTGCACAGCTTTCCGGGGCCAAACAGTGAGTTTTAATCTTGGATCTGGCTTAACAATCTATCACTCACAGACATTTGTAGTTAAGTCCGGAAGCTTTGTGCATGACATCGTGCTTGGTGTACAAAACTGGGTGCCGACCAAAGCCGAGATGCGGGCCATTTCGGCAGAAATGGTTAAATTAGCAGCACAGGATTTGCGCATCGAGCGTTTGGAGGTGGATCAGGAATTGGCGAAGGAAATGTTCAAGGATTCACGCTACAAGAGCGAGCAATTGCCAAGTATTGCGCAACAAAATCAGACCCGCGTGACGCTTTATCGTTTGGGCGAACACATTGATATTTCGCGCGGCCCCATGGTAGCATCCACCCGTTTCCTGGGCAAATGCACAGTTTCAGCGGCACACAAGTTGGCCAATGAAGATCCATCAAGTGCATTTTATCGCATACAAGGCGTGGCCTTGCCCATCGGCTTTGCTCTAAATCATTTAGCTTACGGTTTGCTGGAACAACGCGCCCAGAAATTGGTGAGTCCATATATGTATACCTAAATCAATCGAAAATATGTTATATTTTTCGAAAGAACATTTGTTTTTTATTGATCCAATTTATTGATACTTTGTAGAATTCCGCTCGTATGCCTAATGAACCTTTTGAGGAACAACGACAAATGCAATTATCGTAAAAATAAATGTGATTTAACTTGTGGTTCTTTAATATTCAAAGCTTTATTCTAGTAATTTTTACGATTTATATTAAAAATCGTTACAAAAAGCTTAATGTCGCGCACTTAATCGTAAATATATATTTGTTTATTTGTAAATTTACAAATTCGTTAAAGATCTCTCTTTACTATATACAAAATGCCTATTAATAGGCACATTGGCACAAATTTAACGTAATGATTGCCTTATGCTCTGCTTCCTTTTGCGATCATCTGCATCATAATTGTATATTAAAACATAGACAATGAAACAAGCTCACATAGTATATACAGACACAAACTATTTTTCTTTCCAACAATACATAATTCATATAATTTTTGGTATCTTTGACTGTACAAGAGAAGAATTTCAATCTTATTACAATTCACAACCTCTCATCAAAAATGATGACGTTATTAATTAATAATTTTGAATCTGTATATGTGACTTGTGCTGCACTTTTCAATGAGATTCTCAAAACAAGTACATGCTTTTGAATAAACCCTCTAGATCGTGCTCGTGTACAGCAATGATTAACATTATAGCACCTCCCAAAAGTATACCCAGTATTTGAATGACTATGCCCTTTGGGTCGCGAGCAAGGTCTGGATTGTGAGCCACGCTCATCGTTGGTACCAAATCAGCGAATGCAATGTATAAAAACGAGCCCGCAGTAGCCGCATAGATCCACTGAGTCATGCCATCACCGATTCCAATAAGTAGCAGACCAGTAGCCATTCCCACAAAGCTCAGCACCGAGCTGACAATATTCATACAAAGGGCGCGACGTATGGTGACACCGGTTTGTAGCAGTAGCGCAAAGTCACCTAGTTCGTGTGGTAGCTCGTGGCACAAAACGGCAACGGCAGTGGCAAATCCCGTAACGGGATCGCTGCCAAAGGCAGCTCCAATTGCCAGACCATCGGTGAGATTGTGCAATCCATCCCCAATTATTACCATGAATGCTACGGGAGTTAGAGGGCGATCTGGCGTCTTCTGATCCTCCTTTGTCTCGTTAAGCATGACGTTCAGTTCACGAGGTGCCGGCGCCTCTACTGATGCCTGTGGCTTGCCCATATCGCTAGGACTGTGACCGTGAGCGTGACCGTGACCATGACCATGACTATGGCCATGGCCATTGTTTTTGCCCTTTAGGAGCGGAATCACGTTTTCCAACACGTACATAAACACGGCTGCTAGAAAGGCAGCGCCACACAGCATTGCCGCCTCGTTGCTGTGCTTGTGGGCACGGCCCTGGCCTGTCAAACTTGCAGTTTCCAAAGCATGCTCGTGCTTTTGTTCCTTGAATAGGGCATGTGGCAGCAAGTGCATAAGCGCGTCTCCAGCCAGGGTGCCCACAGCAATGGCGACAAGGAATTTCAAGGTACTCTGATAAGCGGCCGACTTCATAAGAGGAACAAGCAGTATTCCCAAAGTTCCGCATGCTTAAAAGGCATATGTTGTTTATTCGTTGTCGAGATTATAGTTGAATGTGATATTTACCTGAGAGCACAAACATGGAGGTGGTGGCGTAAATCCAGGCTGTGGACAATTGAATGTTATATTATAGTTAAATGGCTGATAGCTGATGGCTTTCTCAGTGCACTTACCATTCCAAATTCGATCTTTTCTGTTGAGATTCTTATGGTGTGGGTCCTCTGCCGGTTGCATGCATACTCCATTGTCGATCTGTGCCAGCAGCGCTGGGCACAGTTTCATGAATGCGCTGGGCGTGATGAGGACACTGTTGATGAATTTGTTGTACTCCTCCTCCAAATTATGATTTTCTGTCTTCACTATATCACGGTACAGTTTATTTCGGTGTAGATCATTGTGGTCCACAAGAAGCGCGAGCAGCGACTTTGGCGATAGGCATGCGGCTTCAGGCAAACGTGTACTATCGAGGGAAACTGTAAGAGGAGATGCTTGAATTCTGGGCTATAATCAATCACCCATTGCGGGCTTGTCAGTTGCAAAGCGGCATTATAATTTTGGACATAAATTGAACATTAAGGCGGATTAATTTGATTAAGTATCAGTCCAACCTAATCCTGCCTAGTTTTCAACCACAAAACCACGAAATAAACTGAATTGATCCATTGAGAATCGTATGAAATGTGTTGATCCCAGTTTTGAACCACAGATGTGGAAAATCTGGTTCACAAACGGAATCTTAAGACGGAATCGATTGTTGAGCCTGCAGCCCTGGTCAGTTGTAAGCTGAATCTCAATGGCACGTTTATGTCCGCGCAATGCACAATTAACGGTAAACCTCAAATGTGTAAAAGTAAAAACACGCAGAGTTAAAAGTTATGGTGCGTTTTTCATTTCCGCGTCCATATTGTTGGCTTTTGATTACCAGGTGACAATGGAGATCGCCTTACTGACATTTTGTTGACATTACTTTTGATTAGCACGTAGCTGACAAACATACATACATATGTAAGTAGATGTATTTAAATTAGCACGCAATTCTTTGTTTAAACAAGAGTGCACTTGTGTCTGTGCACTCGCAGATAATTTATAAATGCAGTTAAGGTGCATTAACAGGAAGCGATGCACATAGTCCCACTATAGAACTGGTGCACGTAGTCCCACTATAGAAGTGGTAGAACCGACTTGGTTAATTGCAGGGAAATGGTTTTGATCATCACCTTGAAAATGTGTTTATCCCTATATGGCACCCATGATTTCAGATTATATTATACAAATGACAACGAGCTTAAATAGGCTGCTTTAAACGTGCATTTGCCTTGCACTTGAAGTAGCCAATTGAATGCAATATCAGACCTTGCTTAGCGGCCCCAGTCTATTTAAAGTATTGTAGGGCAGCAGTAAAACCGTTAGACTAGCATATGCTCTGTATCCAGCGAGACAGACAGTAGTAAAACCGTTAGACTAGCAGATGCTCTGTATACATATATACATACATACATATCTACATTGTGCCATACCTACCAAGAAATTATTAACAAGTGGTTTTTTGTAGAGGAAATCCCATTTACTGCAAAACACTTGCAAATTGACTTGGACTGCAGAACATTTTTACAAATATTGGAGTTCTCCTCCATTTTTATGTCTGTTTATAGAATTTTTAACTAATCCTTCAGACTTTCCAGTCTCGAAGAGCCATAAGTATGCAGTTGATTAGGAATAGGGAATATTGAGTTCGCTTCTTCATAGAAAGCTGATCTGACTGTACGTATAGTTCATTGAGATGTCACCTTGGTTGTTCATTTGGATGGACAAACTAATTGTTCAACAAATCCAATATACTCTTTATCTATCTGGGAAGACAGTATAAGTAGCATAACAAGCAAGAGACTTGCAAATATAATAGTTTGTTTATAATCCATATGAAGTACATGTCGGCTTATAATTGTCGTTTAAGTTTTCATTTACTCGTATTGTTTGCTCATTGTCGTGGGTCCCCTGCAGTTTTGCATTGTACAACATCCCAGCCGCTACTCGACTGTGTTGGAAATATGTGTCATTACTTAAGGGGAACCTGTTGTCGTATACGAGCTAAACGCACGTAAATATCACGCTAATCCCTTTACTGGTAGCAAAACAAACTTAAACGGTGCGGCTAGAAAAACTGTTTATCACTACCAAGATAGATCTTAGTCAAATATTCCTATCTGCTGTTTAAGTAGAGTCCATTAAATTTGTGGTGTCGCGTTGAAATTCCGGGTTCAAAGTAAAGACGTATAAATCTTACCACTGCTTTCCCGCGGGTGCCGATGCTTGGGGTCGTGCATTTCGCGGAACTCCACGGTTTGGTTCCTTCCCATGCGCTCGGCGTTCTTTTCCACCTGCTGATTGGATAGTTGGACATCGCTGACCGCGTCATCAGTGATGGGATTGGCGGTGGTCGCATTGTGCTTGGTGCTGTTGTAGCCCACAGGTCGGTGCTCTTCTATGGTATGGGCAGGGTCGAATTCAATGTGTCCAAGGCCCAAGCTGTTCATCAAATGCTCAAGTCCCTATGAGTAAACAACGAAATTACAATGAACTCCAAGTTTCTTTAAAATATAAGAAAAAAGGTTTACGACACTGCAAGAGCAGACTGACTGATTGATTATCATCTCAGCTAGAACGCTAAAATTCTAACCGTATTCACGCATAGATTTTGTTTGGGTAAATTCCACCTGTAACTGTGGAATATTGGTGGAAAACGGTTGTATGGCGTTTTTTTTACTATCCGATCAGCATGAAACTCAATTTTAAAGATCTTTGTAAAAATTTATTCGAGTTGTATTTCCTTGTACTGCATTTTTTATTATAGTTGCTGATATCTGTTAAACATTATTCAAGTACACGCATTGTTCGCATGGTTAAGGATGCTTTCCCCATATTTAACACGGTTTAGACTTTTAAGTAATTTGACAAACAAATTAATTTGCACTCGAGCACATTTGGCACATTTAAACTTTATGCTAATTTGTCAATAGCCCCGATTCTATTCAGGTGAAATATTTACTCAGTACGGCGCTTGCGCCTGGGTCACGTGTTAAACGTAGACGCGCGGGAATCTCACAAATAATTACTTGATTTACTTGTCACCGAGCAAAACAATTATATTTACATGCCTATGCGTTTCCACGTACATATTAATGATGAAAATTGGATGGGGTCTGGGAGCGCATCTAATTGGCTTGACAGCGGCTGTCTATTGGCATGGGCGTGTGTGTGCTCTGTTCGTTAAGAGATGACAGGCTGTTTAACTACTTACACGCTTATCATTTTATAATGCAGAATAATCACAGAATCTGGCCGCCAATGATTACCAAATAACATTTTGGGTCGGCAATCCGTAGAGG